GCCCAGAGCCCGCCCCGCCACCGCTGTATCCCCCTCCCATGCCATAGCCTGAGGAGCCCCCACTGCAGCACCCGGATGATCCTCCACTGCTTCCACCTCCCATGATGCTCTTTGATCCTGAAGACCCACCACTCGATCCTCCTCCCATGCCATAGCTGGATCCTCCACTGCAGCATCCAGAGGAACCTCCACTACCTCCACCACCAATGATGATCTTTGTTCCTGAAGACCCACCACTCGATCCTCCTCCCATGCCATAGCTGGATCCTCCACTGCAGCATCCAGAGGAACCTCCACTACCTCCACCACCAATGATGATCTTGCCTCCTGAAGACCCACCACTGGATCCTCCACTACAGCATCCGGATGATCCCCCACTGCTTCCACCTCCCATGATGCTCTTTGATCCTGAAGACCCACCACTCGATCCTCCTCCCATGCCATAGCTAGATCCCCCACTGCAGCACCCGAAGGATCCTCCACTACTTCCACTTCCAATTATGATCTTGCCTCCTGAAGACCCACCACTGGATCCTCCACTACAGCATCCGGATGATCCCCCACTGCTTCCACCTCCCATGATGCTCTTTGATCCTGATGACCCACCACTGTATCCTCCTCCCATGCCATAGTTTGAAGATCCCCCACTGCAGCATCCAGATGAGCCGCCTCCTCCACCACCGGAGCTAATAATGATCTTCTGGCCAGATCCACCACTGCCACCACTGTATCCTCCTCCCATACTGTAGCTCGAGGATCCTCCACTGCAAGGCTGTTACTTCTGGTGGCTGGGAGGCCAGTGGCAGGCCTGCTTGGTCTGGTGGGACTCGATGTGGGGAATGACAATGGGGCATTTCTGTTGCATGGACTGGCAGGAGCCTCCGCTGCCCCCTCCAGAGCTGATGATGATTGCGTGGCCCGAGGAACCACCACTGCCACCACTGGATCCTCCACTGCAGCATCCAGAGGATCCCCCACTACCTCCACCACCAATGATGATCTTGCCTCCTGAAGACCCACCGCTGGATCCACCACTGCAGCATCCAGATGAGCCACCTCCTCCACCACCAGAGCTAATAATGATCTTCTGGCCAGATCCCCCACTGGCACTGCCGTATCCCCCTCCCATGCCATAGCCTGAGGAGCCCCCACTGCAGCAGGATCCACCTCCTCCACTGCCAGAGCTGACAATGATCTTGCCAGAGCCCCCGCTTCCCCCACCGTAGCTGCCTGAGCCTGAGCCCCCACTGCAGCAGGAGGAGCCCTGCGACTGGTAGCCGGAAGAGCTGCCGCCGTGGCCGCAGCAGCCCCCGCTGTGGCATCCGCTGGACTGGGAGGACATTTCATGGCAACCTCCGGAGGATTGTCTGGAGCACATCTTTGAGCAGTGACCCTGCAAGAAACAGTGCTGTTGGAAAGGAGCTGCTTGGAGATGCTGCTGGACCTTCACAGCAAACCACAACTGGAGCAGTACCCAGGAAATACCCCGGATGTCCCGTCTTCTGAAATCCTACAAAAAGTGCAGCTTTATAAACTCCCTCACCCTTGTTAGACAGCAGGAAACACCTGCAAGGAAAAGCTCCCAGGGACCCGTCTGCACATCACAATAGTTACAGAAAAACTCTATGTGCAGGAAGATTGAGAGCACTTCCAGAGATGTGCACACACGCTCTGACATGCTCAGAGCCGACAGCCTAAAAGCTTTAGTCCCACTGTAGTTCCATCTGGATGGACAGACTGCTAAAACTCACAGCAGTTGAAAATTCAGCCATATTTCTGTGCTCTGAGAATATCAGCTACAACTCCTTTCTGGAAGGAAGGCGGTCCTGTTGGCACACCATATTGGTTTCCCGAGAACCCCATCCAACGTCAAGCTGGCATGGTTCCCTCCTTCAAAGCGTGCTCAAAGACCAACTAGTGGAGAGACCTCTCTGCATAGGGGTTCAAAAAGTCTCCGTATCAACGGGCTTACCTTCAGTGCAACTGGAAACGCTTGCAAGGCTCGTTGGCAGGTGAATGAGGAGCCTTGGGATAGGTAAGCTTTTATATTCTGTGCATTGTGCTCCTAAGGGAAGTGAGACACCCTAAGGAATGCTGATAGATTTATTTACCGAGCCTGGCTTTAGCTACCTCCTTCTTTGACTCACTTGCAGCAGCAGATAGGTGATACGAAGGAGATGTATCAATTATGTTCTGCATTGCTGTTGCTAATTCTACTTAATGATTCATTTCCGGGAGTCTTGTTCTGAAGCGTTGAGGGCAAACGGCTTCTGGGGGTCTATTTTGGGTGGTCCCCAACCCATTTCTGCTGGACTTCAGCTTCTCGGGTACTCAGCAGAGAGTGGAGATGGAGCAGATGCTAAGGGATGGAGGATGGAGCGAGTTGGGGCTAGAGCGTGATGGAAGGACAAGGGTAAAGGATGCGCTGGAGCAGAGTCCCAGGGAGTTTTTTGGGGGAAAAAGGGTTTCCTTAAAGACTGGCGAGATGGGGAGCTGGATGGGGAGCAGGAGTATGTCCAACCCACTGGGAAAGGCAACCACATGCCCAACAGGCCAGAGATACCACCTCTGATGGGGCAGTGCACCGCTTTGGAGCACCTCAGCCCACATCCATTTCAGAAGGCCCTGTGAGGGTGGCAGAGACGTGAGGGACTTTTCCCCTCACCCTTTTGGGAGCCCAGGGTGGTTGCTGCTGTTGGATTGAGTAGAGAGGTCTGTGCTCAGCTCCAGCTTCCCAGGAGTCCTGGTCACCAGACCGTGGTGGGCAAAGTCTTGAAATCTTTCTATTTGCAACGTGCATTTGAAGGCCATCAAGACCCTACCCTTGAAATCTAGGACATTAAATATTTCCTCTGTCTCAGCAGGATCTATTTTCTGAGGGTCCTGCTTCTCTGGCCAGCCCACCCACACCTAAGCCTGGGGAGGCATCTGGGTATTTTGCTTGCTGGAGAATGACAGTTTGTCAGCACAGTTATCACAGATCTGGCTGCTGCGTTTTGCAGCAGCTTCATCCTGTCACTGCGTCACGCATGCTTGGAGGCTGACAACAGCATCCACCCTCATGGACGACTGAGTAGAGGAAAGCATAATTGGGGGTTTTTAGCTAAGAGGATGAATGACAGCAGGCTGCCCAGCCCTATCATGATAAACATAATTTTGAGCATGCACGCAACTCCGTTGGTATGGGGACAGGACCATCAGCACCAGGAACGTGGGTGCAGGGGGCTTTGGTCTCCCTCCAGTGGCCTAGGCTCCACTCTCATAGCCAAAAGGAAATCTAAGGTCTCACTGCCATTCTGGCTCTCACCCGTGAAGTGTGGGTGTTGTCGTACCGAGCATCGCAACACCTTGATCCCTTCTGTGCATTTAACCTGTAGGGACTTGCACAAAGGGGCACCTAGGATTTGCAGCTCATCAGGACCCAGGGTGCGGGGGAAGGCTGTGGAGGCTTTTGGCAGGGGTGGTGAGAGGTGCTCCCGCAAGCGCTGGTGTGTGGAGACCCCAAGGCTGGACCCTGCAGGGACTGGAAACACTGGATAGGTAGCACAGGCACATGTGTGGTACTTGCCCCATGTGGAGAAAGAGCGTGGCTGGGACCAGAGCTGCTGGGGATGCTGGTGTTGCCACAACCACCCCAGCTTAAAGAGCAGCTTTAATACCTATGTTGGGTAAAGGCAAAGGTGGATGCAAAACTCTTCACAGTTGAGGCTGCTCCAAATTTTGGGCAACCTGCCTGTTTTCTGATGCTCTGTCTGAGCCCTTTTCTTCCCTGCAGTCCAGTCACCCTCCGGATGGGCTGGCAGGCCACGTTATCTTTCAGTCTCATCTCTGCAAACACCTCAATGGATGGTGCCTTGGTATGCTTTGCTATGAGAGAGAGAAAACCTTGGCCAGATCCTACAATGTTTTTTCACAGCAGCTTCCTTCATGCACAGCAGCACTAACATTGACAGCACGGGATGTGATGAAGATACTGCTGGTGTGAGAAGAGTTCTCCAATTTTTCTGCAAAAGGCGTAAGCTGGCCAGTTACGATCCCTCAAGCATTTGCACGGCTGATGATGCCTTTCATTCCTAATTTTGTTTTCTGCCTACCAGTTATGTGAGCCAGATGGACAAAAAACCCACTTAGCTAAAAATTTACTGAACGCAATGACACCTGTCCCAAGGAGGACTTGCTGCTGACTTCAGCACAAAGACTATTGAATATTTCCTACCATGATTAATGGGTTTCTTGTGATAAGAGAGATGGAGTATGTAAAAACCCAACTCTGTATCAATGGATGCTGCTGTGTGCACTGGAAACCCCTGCAGTGAAACCCAGAGCTCACAGTCTGCTTCCTTCTCTGGGAAGGGGAAACTAAGGTGGAGCTATTTCCCAGGTTAAGGTTGCAGCCTTGGTGGACATAATTTGCAAGAGGGACAATGATCACCTGCTTAAGCAACAAGGTTTCTCTTAAGCAAGATCTGTTAATAACCGTCTGCTCCAGCACTGCAGGCTGAAAAAGATTTCACTGCTGAATGTATTTGATGCATTATTCACTTTTTGAAAGTAAACAGGGGATTGAGAAAAAGGTAAAAGCAACCTCGAACAACCAGTTCTTTCTGTACACAGTAATCTTTATTTGCCTTCATATGGAGGGGTGAGAAGAGCCAACTGGGAGATCAAAGCACAGGGATGCAGCATCCAGGGAAGACAATGGAAGAGGACACGCTGGGAGGAAGCAGGCAAACTTGGAGGACAGAGCTGTTCTAGATGAGAACCAGGGCCAGCTGTGGCTGTTACTTCTGGTGGCTGGGAGGCCAGTGGCAGGCCTGCTTGGTCTGGTGGGACTCGATGTGGGGAATGACAATGGGGCATTTCTGTTGCATGGACTGGCAGGAGCCTCCGCTGCCCCCTCCAGAGCTGATGATGATTGCGTGGCCCGAGGAACCACCACTGCCACCACTGGATCCTCCACTGCAGCATCCAGACGATCCCCCAC